TTAAAGCATTCCTATGTTTATTGTAAACATGTTGTAGAAGAATCCATGAATTGTACAAAAAGGCATTTGTGGAACTTTAAACTGTAACATACAGATTAAAGGGTCCTGGTATTTGGGTTAAATGTACTGATTGCTTAAAGGTCCTCACACACTGAATTTGTATTCCTTTTGTCAATCTTCTCTATATTAATTATCAAATCTAAACGTAGATGACTGCTCTATTAATCAGACTTTATAAAGCTGAAAATCTGCATTTTGTTACACTTAATCAAACAGATCTAATCTTGTGGTACACAAAATCCAGAAAATCATGTGACCTACCTTCCAGCCATCAGACAGATATCCACAGTAATTATTCAACAGCAGCTAAATGAAATAGGACATGCTTTGCATGTTTCATCCTTCCTTGTAACCACTTGTCCTCTTCCTACTGAAAACCTGGGACACTGCAGCGTGCAGACCGCTGCATGTACAAAAATGACTAACGCAAATTGTGATTTATGCGTGGTGTCTGGAGGAGTGGGACATTGTTGAACTCCATACATGGTACACAGCAAATTAGAATTTCTTTGGAAGGAACCTTTTGTCACCAGTGAAGATTAATGGGGTCTGAATCGCAAGAAGTCTAACAAAAGAGATATTTACCTTTCCTTTAAAAGAATTGTCCACTTTTCATTTTTGTATATTATCGTAGCTAACTAGGATATACAATTTGCAGCATGCTTCCAAAAGGATAACAGAAATCGTAATGAATTTACTTGATTACAGCCCACAGACATGCACCAAAATGAGAGCATATGGCACTGATCCATCTGAAATTTATGGTAACTGTCTCAAATGTGCAAAGATCGTCATTGCACTCGTTAATTTTTCTCTGGGAACCAGGGAAGCCTCACGGCAAAATAAGCAGTTACTAAATTGTAAGACAGAATGCGAAATAATACAAAGTAAATTAAGTGGACATCGCTTTGTTTTTACAGAACCACAATGGTAACAACTATTGAAGTTACAATAGAAACACTTAAGAAAATGTAAAACTCACAATATGTACGGAAGGAATTTATTCTCTCTTTCATGGAATGTATTTCGACACATATGAAAATAACTCGCACATCTCAAAAAATTATTGAATGTGAGTGGTATTTACATAATAGAGAAATGACCATTGCTGTCAGAATGATGGATCTGCATTTGCACAATACATTATATCTGGGCAGGATTGAGACTATTAACTGTGCACACAGTGGCTAAACAATATGAGGTTTATGATTGCATATTATTTCCATTATCTTTGCTATTTAATAAATCAGGAGATTTAAAAAGGTTCTGAGAAAAAGTGTAACACATTGTTATCTGTAGTCTTTGTTTCTACTTCAATTACCTGCTTCTCCACCATGATATGACTATACATTCAAAAACGTCAGGCACAAAATAAAGATGTAATAAATAAAAAAGCAATAATTTACAATTACTTACTTATTTCATAGCAACAGCCATGCCAAAAAGCAATGAAAGTACTTTATAAATAACGTTCAAATTCCACACAGAGGAAGGTGCGTTGTAATGGAATTCATTGAAGCTTCTTCTATGATGTTTTTTTCGAGGAGAATATGGATTGAATGTTCCTTCAGCTTGCTGGATTTGCTGACTCTGAACTTGTTTTTAATTCATCCATAACTAAAAACATAATGTAGAATCACATTTGCTTTTCATTGCTGCACAATAGATTTGTGTTCTGTAAGCATTCTCTTTGTGAAACCTATAGAATCACAAATAAAAAAAGTTACTTCAAATTAAATTAACCTTCACATTGCTCAATCCATGCCAGATTATTCTAGACCCACATTAAGAGAACTGATTTTTAAATTAAAACTATATATATATAGCTCCATTCCCAGGTGAGATCAAAGCATCTGGCTTTTTGTGCGAGATAACTTATCAATGTCTCCAACATTTCCCAATTGGTACATATGAATAGAGACTAATAAAGTATGGTCCAAAATTAAATCTGTACAATTTGATATAAATTAGGCATCTGATAATCCAAAGCATGAAATACAACAGTGGATTGAAATTACTAAACAACACATCGTGGGCATATTGTAGTACAATTGTTGAATTAGCATGAAATAAAATACATATGTGAAAACCCATTATTCATATTGTTTGCTCTGTCAAGAACCTAGTCTTATGCAGTACATAGATATTGGTATTGAGAAACGTATTGAGATATGTTACAAGAGCAGCTTTCCTGTCATGTTCATTATTAATCAAAATAGGCCTACAGTTTCTTGGAATGTCATTTACCATTAAGGTGGGAAGTTCAGTAATTGACCCAGCATTGCGTAAGAATAAAAAAGTGATTTAGTAAAATTGTATAAAATCGGGAATTAGCATTTCCTTCACACCACTAGGATTTCAAGAAAAATAAGGAGCAGCTAGAAATCTGATGGCAATTTCAAGGCAACTCTGATCAGGTCAGATTATTAAACATTAGTGGCGATTCTTTGCAATAAACAGTCAAATACACTTAATTTATGCACAGCTCTAACTCAAACGTCGACTTCTGCAATACAGTGCAGATAGATACGCACACACAGACAACACTTAACTGAGAGAAGAGGAAGCCTTGAGATTTTGACGGGAGGTTTTTTTTGGGGGGTGGGGGAGAAATCACATTATTTGGTATATTCTGTTTTGCACAGTCTGGAACACAATTACATTTCCAACTGATTTAGTTTTTTTTTGGGTGGGGGGGGGTGGAATAAGAAAACAGACGCACAATAACGACCACCAATAATAATAATAATAATTGCCCTGATTATGGCAATGTTATGTAAGAGAGAGCTAGAAATGAACACATACTGTAACCCGCAAACACACATATTATCACAAATGTCTGGTCTGTTTCTCTCTGAGCAGAACTCCACGTTAAAAGGTTTCCTTTTAAGGCACGTTTGGACTCAGGTCAACCTTTCCTTTCCTGTCTGAGCGATAGATCTCTCTCGATATATTTGTGCACAGTGTGAGGCAATTTCAACGCAACTCTGAGCACATTATTAAACATCAGTGGCGATTCTTTGCCGCAAAACACAGTCAAACCCAATTAATTTATGCGCAACTCTACGCTCGAACATCCACGTCTGCAAATATATATATATATAGAGAGAGAGACACACACGTATATATATACACACATATATATTTACGGGATAACCAAAAAGTCGTGCTATCTATCTTATTATCTAAAAACAATTTTAGATTTTTTTGGGTGGGTGTGTGTGAAGACTCATTAGACATTGTAAATGGTATCACGACTTTTTGGTCACCCTGTGTCCATATATATACATAAATAAACACACACACACAAATACACACAAGGTGACCAAATGTATATGTATCTATATTGTATATGTATATGTATGTGTGTGTGTGTGTGTGTGCATTAATCTGACCTGCTCAGATATATAATATATATGTGTGTGTGTGTAGCACATGCAGACCATGGTGTACAATTGCAGTGACAGTAAAGCACTGACCTGCAGTGCCTGGCCAGTGGCTGGGGGTGGGTGAGGGTGGTGGGGGTGTGGGGTCAGGCAGTGCTGCGGGGGGGGAGGGGGTGAGGGCGGTGAGGGTGGGGGTGTAGGTGTTGGGGGGTGAGGGTGGTGAGGGTGGGGTGGAGGTGTTGGGGTGGTGAAGGTGACAGTGGAGCTGGTGTTGGGGGGGGTGAGGGTGGTGAGGGTGGGGTGGAGGTGGTGAGGGGGTGGGGGGGTGAGGGTGAGGGTGGAGGTGCTGGGGGGGTGAGGCGGTGGTGGGGGGGGGTGAGGGTGAGGGGGTGCTGGGGGGGGTTAGGCGGTGTCGGGGGGGGGGGGGTGAGGGGGTGTGGGGGGGGGTCAGGCGGTGTCGGGGGGGGGGGTGGGGGTGGGGGGGTCAGGCGGTGTGGGGGGGGGTGGAGGTGGGGTGAGGTCAGGCGGTGTCGGGGGGGGGTGGGGGGTGGGGGGGGGGTCAGGCGGTGTCGGGGGGGGGGGGGGGGTGGGGGGGGTGGGGGGGGTCAGGCGGTGTGGGGGGGGGGGGTGGGGGGGGGTCAGGCGGTGTGTGGGGGGGGTGAGGGTGAGGGTGGAGCCGGTGGTGGGGGGGGGTCAGGCGGTGTGGGGGTGGGGGGGGGTGCTGGGGGGGGGTCAGGCGGTGTGGGGGGGTGCTGGGGGGGTCAGGCGGTGAGGGGGGGGTCAGGCGGTGTGTGGGGGTGAGGGGGTGAGGGTGAGGGGTGAGGGTGGGGGGGGTCAGGCGGTGTGTGGGGGTGAGGGGGTGGGGTGGGGGGTCAGGCGGTGGGGGGGGGTGCTGGGGGGGGTGGGGGGGGTCAGGCGGTGTGGGGGGGGGTCAGGCGGTGAGGGGGGGGGGTGCTGGGGGGGGTCAGGCGGTGTGGGGGGTGGTGGGGGGGTCAGGCGGTGTCGGGGGGGGGGGGTGAGGGGGGGTGTGGGGGGGGGTGAGGGGGTGAGGGTGAGGGGTGAGGGTGGGGGGGGGTCAGGCGGTGTGTGGGGTGAGGGGGTGAGGGTGGTGGGGGTGAGGGTGGGGTGGGGTCAGGCGGTGTGGTGGGGGTGTGGGGGGGGTCAGGCGGTGTGGGGGTGGGGGGGGGGTCAGGCGGTGTGGGGGGGGTGGGGGGGGTCAGGCGGTGTGGGGGGGGGGGTCAGGCGGTGTGGGGGGGGGTGGGGGGGGGTCAGGCGGTGTGGGGGGGTGAGGGGGTGGGGTGGGGGGGGTCAGGCGGTGTGGGGGGTGGGGGGGTCAGGCGGTGTGGGGGGGGGGGGGGTCAGGCGGTGTGGGGGGGGGGGGGTCAGGCGGTGTGGGGGTGGGGGGGGGGTCAGGCGGTGTGGGGGTGTGGGGGGTGGGGGGGTCAGGCGGTGTGGGGTGTGGGGTGGGGGGGGTCAGGCGGTGTGGGGGGGGGGGGGGTCAGGCGGTGTGGGGGGGGGGGGGGGTCAGGCGGTGTGGGGGTGTGGGGGGGGGGGTCAGGCGGTGTCGGGGGGCGCGGTGCTGATGCCCCGCTGTGCGAGTTTCTGGCGGCTGCAGCGCACCGCTTGGATCGCGAGGCGGTTCTTGTACTGCACGAGCCGGAGGGTGATCTCGGCGTTCCAGCCCTCCTCCTGGGGGCACCGAAAGTCTATCTCCTTCTTGTCGGCCATCACCACCGTGAAGTACACGTACTTGCCCTTCCTCTCCACGCAGTCCACCGTCTTCATGTCCCCGAAGAGGAGCTGTTTGACGGCGCTGCAGTTGCTGCCCCCGGACTGGGCATCGCGGTGCTGCTGGTGGTGCTGCTGGTGCTGCTGGTGATGGTGCTGCTGCTGCTGGTGCTGCTGGTGGTGATGGTGGTGGTGATGGTGATGGTGGTGATGGTGGTGGTGGTCCTGATGCTGTTTGGGTCTCAGCAGCAGCAGCCCTTCCCCTGTCAACACGCAGTGCTTCTTCTTCCACAGCTGCAGCAAACCATCACTCCTCTTCTCCAGCGAACCCTCCTTCAGGACCTCCTCAGCCTCCTCCATCCTCACCATCGACTCGAATCCGTCTCTCTTATCTGCAGTAGTGCATAGGTAGAGATTTTTTGTTTTTTAAAAAAAAAAAAAAGAGAGAGAGAGAGAGAGAGAGAGAGGGAGAGAGAGAGAGAGAGTGAAAGCCAACCCAGGGTCAAAAATTACTGAGTGCTTTTTTTTTTTCTTTTCTTCTGCTTTTTCTTCTTCTTCTCCTTCTTCTCCTCCTCCTTCTCCTTCTTCTTCTCCCCCTCTCCTCTTCCTCCCCCTCTTCCTTTCTGCCCCCTTTTGTGATTATTGCAGCAGAAATGGCTCAAGTCTTGCAGTCTGTTGGACCACCCATCCCCTCACTGGCTGCTGCTGCTGCTGGTGGTGGTGGTGGTGATGGTTGTGTGTGTGTGTGTGTTTTTTTGTTGGCAGTGCCTGACTTGCTCTCCCCTGAACGATCTGTGCAATTCTGCAGTTGCCTTCCCACACTCTGCTCCCACCCACCGTGTGATGGGGAGAAGGAAACAGCTCATCGATTTGCAGAATCCAGAGTCACTAAAACAGCCTACGTGGCTCCTGGGTTTTTTTTTTGGGAGCTCAGTAAAAGTGTGTGGCTATCAGTAACAGAGGGAGCCACCAGCGGGCAGTGCAGAGGATATAGATTGCAATGAACTGATCCATCAAAGAAACCACTTCATCCAACTTATTTGTATAATATATATATATAAAATTTATGGCCAGGAGGCTGAAAGCTCGGTGGAGTCCTGTAGCTCAGTGGTTAGAGCACTCGCTTTGCAAGTGAGAGACCTGAGTTCAATTCCAGGCAGAGGGCCAAACCTTGGGCAAGTTTCCTTACTCCACACAGAGCCCTAATAATAATCCCTCCAAAAAACCAAAAACAATAATTAAATTGGTCATTTTCAATCTACGACTGTTTGTGGGACATTGCTGTGCGCAATTGGCTGCCGCGTTCGCCCACAAATATACAGTCAATTCACTTGACAGTGTGTTCTGTGAAGCGCTTTGGGACGTCCTCCCGACGTGAAAAGCGCTATATCAAATGCAAGGATTATTATTATTATTATTAAAGCGATATTTTTTTCCCCAATCAAATCTACGACTCAAGGGCGAGGGAGAGATTTCGCGTGGTGTTTTAACAACGGATGAAATAGCATAGGAGTTAATAACGATCGCGCTTCCGTTTGACATCGCGCCTTATCGCTCCCGCAAACCCTCTCTCAGGACCTCCTCAGCCTCCTCCATCCTCACCATCGAATTTAATATATATCTATATATATATGTTAAAAAAGAAATCCAACCCAGGTCAAAATTATTGAGTGCTTTTTTTTTTCTTTTCTTCTTCTTTTTCTTCTTCTTCTCCTCCTTTCTGCCCCTTTTCTGATTATTTCAGCAGAAATGGCTCAAGTCTTGCTGCCTTTTGGACCACCCACCCCCTCACTGGCTGCTGGTGGTGGTGTGGGACATTGCTGTGCGCAATTGGCTGCCGCGTTCGCCCACAAATATACAGTCAATTCACTTTAGTGTGTTCTGTGAAGCGCTTTGGGACGTCCTCCCGATGTGAAAAGCGCTATATCAAATGCAAGGATTATTATTATTATTATTATTATCACGTCTTCGAGGCGTCTCAAAGGGCTTCGCAGCTTTGTTAAAAGTCAATTGACTGTACTTTTTGTGGGCGGAACGCAGCAGCCAAGTGCACACAACAGCATCCCGCAAACAGTCGTGGATTGAGTTGTCTAAGAGAGTGGGATCTTTCATAAATTTTATTTAAAAAGCAGCATGAAACAGTGATGCAGGAATGGGAGGACTGTAGGGTCTATGTTCTGGAGGGATGATCAGATGAACTGAGGGGCCTTCTTCATTCAGACCAATCTTGGGAACAGGACAAGAACTCAGTTACTGAAACACCTTACTCAACGATTACATAATAACCCCTTCAACGAGTACTAAGATAATAATTCCCGGCTCGTCTGATTTAAGAGAATGACTGGGGCCAGTCAAAACTGTTTACACTAACAAAGAAACGTGAAACTAACAAAGGTAAAAAACTCAGCATTTTCTCACAAGTGTGGGGGTATACAATAGAAAACTGGTGTAAAATAATAATGTGGGGGGGAGGGTTATAAACAAAGTAGGAGGAAAAACAGGGAATCCTAAACATTGTGGTGCTGGTTATTAATACAGGATCCAGAAATTAAGACTTGCCTTTGTCTACAAATAATTACTACACTGAAATTACCTGAAAAATTTAAGACATTCAACATTATAGATACGACATGAAATGCAATAATTATCAATTAGCAATGGTAAAATGTTTAGAAGCAGCACTTTGGTCAATAGAAAACAAGATGCACATTTCACTTGCATTCATAATAAACCTTACATTTGATATGGCATCTCAATATACTTAACACAATACTTTGTAGGCATATATTCAAACAACTACTAATGGTGTTTCCCTATATCCAGCAGGTGACAACATTTGTGTCTCAGTGCCAACAAGTGGTTTCCTCAAAAGTTGAAACCTTGGTAGTCACAATATGTAACTCTTAAACAAGGACCTACATCCTCAGGCTCGACCAAGGCTGTAGTCGGATATACTTGAATCACATACCAAATAGATGGCTTCTATCAATAGGTACCAGAGACTGAATTGGTGTATTTTTCGTGGTTTCACCAGCAAACATTTTTTTGTGTGATTTCTGATTCCAGAAACCACAAATAATAAACCTTGCATTTGAATAAAGCATATAACACATCTCAAATATTTTGAGCTTTAACATCTCATCCAAAGGATGGCACTTGAAACAATGCAGCGCTCCCCAGGATAGGATTTGAGCATTGGTCTGCAAGACGAGTGCTGAATGCAAGACTCAAACCCACAGCTTTCTGAGAGCCTATCGGCGCCTTGGCATGTCCTCCCGACGTGGAGTCCTGCAGCTCAGTGGTTAGAGCACTCACCTCGCAAGGGAGAGACCCGTGTTGGATTCCCAGCAGGCAGGGCGAAATGGTGGGCAAATTTCCTTACTCCACACGCCTGTTTACCTAACCGTAAGTAGGAACCTGGTTGTTGGTCAATTGGCGCATCGCTTTTCCAGGGGTAATAATTCCATCAAAAATAATAATTTGGTCACTCAATCCGCAACTGTTAAAGAGGGATACTGTGGTGTGCAATTGGCTGCCGTATTTCACCCACAAAATAGTCAATTCACTTTACAATATATTCTGTGAAGATATATTTTGTGAAGCGCTTTGATGTCTTGGAAGACACAATAAGGTGTTATATCAAATGCAAGAATTAATATTATCTTTCATGTCAGAGGACATGCAATGTGTTAGTGTTGAGCCAGGCTGAGAACTTATTAAAACCCTTGATTGGAAGCCCAGACACTACTTGGAATAATCTGCAGTTATGGTTTCTTCTTGAAGGTTTTCTTCAAACAAATTTAAAAATGGATATCAACATTCTCCCATTCTAGAATGTAATACAAGTAAAACTCCTCCGTGTGTAGCTGAGCTGAGCAGTAAATGAAAAAATTGCAGCCATATTCATAATTCAAGGCAGAGAACAAAAGAGGATAGAAAACAATAATAATCCTTGGATTTGATATAGTGCCTGATCACTTCTGAAGGACGTCTCAAAGCACTTTAGAGTGTGCATTTGTTGGCAAACGCGGCAACGCAATTGCACATAGCAACATCACAATTTTATTGGTGGCCAGGACACCGGGAGAAATTCCCTTTAAACGGTGCCATGAGATCTTTAAAGTCCACCTGAACAGGCGGACAGGACCTAAGATTAACATCTTCAGCCTCTCTGCCCCCACCCTCTGGAACTCCATCCCAGTCCCCTGGCCTCATCCCCTTCCCTGCCTCCCTCAAGACCTGTCTTAAGACCCTCCTCAACTGTTCCTTCGGTCACCCTCCTACCCTCCATGATCCCAACCACCAGTTTGGGTGCGGATCCCTGACTGTCCAGGGTTTTGGGACATCCTCCTGATGTGAAATGATCTAAAGAAATGTAATTTGTTGTTGTGGTGGTGTCTGCAATCTTAGCAATGCAATCCTTGTTAAAGTATGGAGATAATTGCCAACCTGCTCGGCTAGTGGATAAATTCACAGCGAGTGAAGTGCATTTAGAGCTTAACACCAGCAAGTTACTCAAGCGAACCTGAAACAAAATTCAGGCATCAGCATCTTCACAGGACAAAATAGATAATCTTGCAAGTAAAAATGGTAAGATATTGAATAGACCACATTCCTAATTAGAACAAAGTTATTTCAAACAAACAAGGCAGGTCTGAAAATACTAGTTTTTATTCACACCCCAAGTGATACAGAGTATGACCTTTTTAGGTGGTGGTTAAGCTTCATTGTTTTCACAATCTCACATTAAAACAAATGAAATGGAAACCATAGCATAATTAAGCAATGTATGAACAGGACACATGGTTGCACGTTTTGAAAACCTTCCACTGACTCTTCTAGAAACTTCACCCAGTCATAGAACTTTAATATGTACGTCTCCCAGTAGACAACTCACTGTGATTGCATGTTTACAGGAACACCAGAGTAATGAAGGCACAGCTAGTGTGAGCACAGACATGTTTCACAATTTTATTTCATTTTGTATAAAGTCCACTTTACACAGATTCAACTACAAAATGAATCTATCCACAGTTTAATCCATTCAGACAACTGGGCTGAAGAAAAGGATAATTACTTTGGTTGATTGTTCTCCAGCAGAATATTTCTAAACAAATATTGGTCTCTGAATTTTGCAGGTCCTAAAAGCCTTCCATAGGTATTACCTCTAACAATGCAAGTTATTATGAAGAACCCAAATTGTGTAGCTGATGATGAGATTTCATGAATTTTTTTTTAAACCCGATTCCATCTATAGCCAATAAAAAAAAATGTAAAATGAGTAGCAACCATGGTCTGAACTGGCTGATTTGAGGGCTCATGATTAACAAAAAAGTGTTAATTGAAACCTGTTCTACCAAGAAAATACAAAACTTTATAAGGCTGTTAAGTAACTATTAGTTGTGTATAATAAGCCAGTACAGTGCAGTTATTCCTCAAGGCCACATTAGCAGACTTCACTGCTGCTTGCACTCTGATGGTGGGGTTGGGTCCTTCTGTTGGAAGAGAGAGAATAAGTATATTAATTGTATGAAAAGCTAACCAGTTACTACAACCAATACACACAATCCCACCCAAAGTTCACTACAAAACATGCTCAATTTGGTTTAATTGACTGTAGGTTTGATAAACCAGCTACGCCTACAAATTGAGAATCTTCAGACAAATCCAAATGTTGGAACCACAAGCCGATGGATTAGCCCCAAGAATCTCTCTTGTATTGGGACTTCAACTTATCTGGAAGGTGGTGTCAGATATACTTTGTTTGTAAAGTTACACATGATCACCAGGTCAGAGGAAAAGTTTCCTTTCTACTTCAAAGAATGCGCCGGTATAGGTTTAAAGATTCTTAATTTATTCAACCTCCTTACAGTCACTAAATATATAAAGGACCGACAATAAAGTCAACATGGAGCACAAAATCACACCATCTTACAAATTCCATACATAGGCAAGAAAAATCCTTTGCTTATCGGCATTTAACACAACATGAATAAACCTGTTAGTCACAAGATACATTATAGAAAGAAGAATGTGTAATGGAATTAATAAAGGCTCTAATTCTGAGATAAAGGATAAGCCTTCAGTTGTGGCCTTAAACTGACCTTTTGGTCCGCAACTGATCGCAAAGTCTACTTATGCAGAGTTCACACTGCACCTTCAGACATAATGATTACCAAATGTAACACACATGACATCAGGCAGCAGATATTGTGCTTGTCTGCTTGGGAAACCAAGGTGGTCACACCTGCATATTGAGCACATTCTGTGTGCAATTGGCCCACAAATATGCAGTATATTCTGTAAAGCGGTTGAGATGTCTCGAAGACGTGAAAAAGCGCTATATTAAATGCAAGGATTATTATTCTCAGTGGGTGTTAGCTAGACTTCATTACCTAGGTATTGACATTTAAGCTTCCTTGAAAAAACAATCATGGTATTGTATTGGCTCAATTACCATATTATTCAACTGCTAGCATGCACCCAGAACTCAAATCGGTAAATTTGCATCCTAGTTGTGTGGTTGAGTAGTATGAACAGAGCATTACTACACAAACAAAAATGAATAGTAAAAGTCTCAAGAAATTAAAAGCTTATCAAAATAATTCATGTCAAGAAACACAATAAGGTGGGTTGAGTGACTGAGTGACAGCATGCTGTAACCCAAATAATGTGACAATACACCTTTATTAGTGCACGCATTTTGGAAAGTTACAATATGAAAGTATCTCAATCAGAATCCCCATAAACACAAGCAAGACCAACATATTGTGCTTTTAAACTTGGGAGGCTGAGAAAAAGAAACCTTCCCTACCTTATTGGTTGGATTTTCATGCCTTATTTACACTACTAGAATAATTAGTCACTTTGCTGTACCAGTTAATTCCATAGTGTACTATAATCTGAAGGACTACTTATTTATTAGCCTGCAATAGAGGCTGAGACCAACCTCAACACTACCCAATCTAATCTACACAAACAATTAGGATTTAATATTCATGGTGTACAAAAGACAATGGTGAGGATTTGGAACACTCACTGCACATTATCTTCATATTTTTTCCTCAAATCTCCAAGTACTTGCCTATTCTGTGACATGCCCTTCAAAACGGTAGTATAATAGGAAGCCTAACAATTGGGATGTTTTTCTATTCTTTCCAACACAATTTTGTTGACAGAACAAGTCATGATCCTAGAAAAATTACTTGAAATAAGAGGACTTCTATTTATCAGCTTGGCAAATCTGCAGGAACAGACTTCAGTAATAACAGTGAAGTGGGTTTGGAGAAAGTTATGTTACAAAAGCCAGTTTAAAAAGCAATTTAGTGGCAAGAATTAAACCAAGATGTTGAAAACTCAAACAGTGTTTGACCTTCAACTCTGAGACAGAAATTTCAAAAGAATTTTGCATAACAATATTGAATGTTCAAACAAATTAAACATTTGCTAAAGCAATTGGATGATTATTTCCCAATTAGTTAAAATAGAGTTTTCAAACCACTGTCAAAGTTTCAACACACACAATAAGATTCACAATAAGGTAAGGACACCAATCTTTAGTACTTTGAGGGAATTTTAAAAAAAACCCAAGTGTACAGAACTAGTTAGATAAATGAAAGCATTAAACAAAAGATTAGCAAGCCTTACCTACCAGGCATAGAATTATTTCTACAGACATCATTTAAACCTAGTAAGGAAAAATTCAGAAAGCAGCTGACATGAAAGTACAAGACTTAAGGTCTCTGAAAGATTTTCTGAATGCCACAGAATTTTAACCAATCCAAATACATACACCATTAAAATCATTAACTGAAGCATTGGCTTTTTTGACAAGTTGCACAAAGTTTTTTGACTGCCTGCTTCAATTAAATATTCACCATATGAGTATTACCTTTTCCGTTTCCCCAAAACCACTCGCTAAGGTGCAGTTGTGATGGAAAACTGACAATGCTTTGTTACTGCTGCCAAAAATAGAAATCTGCACCTTTTCCATGAGTATATGATGGACTTTTATAAAATTTCTTGCATTCAAATTTTTCTTCGTTAAAATCCTCAAATTCTCAGTTAGAATCCTATTATTTATTTTGTTGTCAAACCTGATGCAGAGGTTGGATGCAAATGGCAAACCATTTGAGTTTCCCCATGTACAAGCAACAGTTGTAACAAGTTTATATTAGACTATATTTAACATACTTCTATAAAAAGCTCCCTAGATTAGAGTAAAGGCTCCGTGGATACAAGTCAATCCTATTTGAATGTGGAGGTTGAACAAACAAGAATTCTCTGTATTGCAGTCCTGATACTTGTACGGAAAGTCAATTTTGATAACCTATTCCACTATATGCTGTACTATATGGTTTGTTTTTGAAAGCATAGCTCAGAACTGTACAGTTAAGTTAATTTTTGATTTAACTTTGTGGTGTCTCATTTAATAGGAGTTATCTTCTATTCTGATGTTTACTTTGGCACTAAGCCACAATTTCTCCATTTCCCACACAACTGCTTGCAGTTTGTTTAACTACTTCTGAATTATAGGAGCAGTAAAGATAAGAGTCTTCACCAAGCTCTTTACTGGTTACAATACAAACAATACAATGGTCATACTGGCAACTGTTGTACAGGTTACGATACAGACCATTCAGGATTACTAAGTACATTTTAGACAGAAATATGTTCTATTAAAGTCCTACCTTAGGGTCATAATCTGGGTCATTTTCTTCATCTGCTTCTTCCTCACCTTCCTGTAAAAATACAAATCCCCAAAAAACAATCAACAATTTGGTCTAGTTTTCACCACTCATAACTGTAGCTACTATTTCATTCAAATCAACTCATTTTGAGCACAATAGGAGCAACCAGGGTCAAAATTATTAGAATATCATTGGCTGCCCACAAGAGAGTAGGTCAATGTACCACATTACAGCCCAGGATACTGATTCAGTTCTGATTTGTAATTCCCAGCAGTGAGGGCACTACTGCTTGTATGAGTAGCCCTTGGACTGTAGAAAAATCCAAGCCAGAGCCCCCGTGCGCTGGCATGTATGTATCCTGTAAACACAGTTCAAAGTATGTTTGTGGACGACATAGATCTTCTTTCATAGAGGAGCTCACAATAACCCATTGCCCTGAATAAAACTGGCAAAATCATTAACAGGACAAACAAGTCATTGATTTCCACCCCCACCTCCCCCCCTCACACACTACCAAGGTGTACATTATAAAATGGAATTACCTCATCATCTGCTTCTTCACCTTCTTCATCATACTGAGGAAGGAAATACAAACGGAAATTTTAGTTGGAGATCTGAAAGTATATTATCCATGAACTGCAATGTTTAAGTCCTAAATCACATTTCTCAAAAATTACTCAATTAGCCCCCAAACTTAAAATATTTAACTAGAAACAGTTCAAATAGCATCTTATGTAGCAATTCAATTACCTTTCAGTAATCTATTGAGTTTATGATATTCTGCATTAAGTTTGTGCGCTACAGTTCATCCAATACCCAATTAACAATTTCAAACTAGGTCATGCTTTACAGAAGCATGATCTTGTGTTTTAGCTACAAGTAAAACAGAACAATGTGATCCTGTAGCTATTGAACAGAATGCTAAATGTTTTCAGGTTGATTATCACACATAAGAGTTCAGCAGATAGATGTAAAATCTACAAAGGGCCTATGCTTGCCTCTAATAAGGTCTCAACGTTAGCTGCAGTGAGATTAATGCCCCATCACTATTTAATTACATTAAAGTGTTACTGGGGTGGGTACTAGAACAAAAGCGAATCTTTCACAAGAGTCTATTATACCCAATTTAAGAGCAAGGGTAAATGGAGTAATAAGGTAAATAATAAATAAAGTTTCAAGGTCTGATTTTAAAATATTAATTGTAAATCGTTCTGCTGTTCAGAAGCTTGGGAGCATTACTGCACTACTTGCACTGAAGGTAACTGCTTACATCATCATCGTCATCTTCAATGGCTTCTCCTGTGAAATACAACACTGCTCGTGGAATTATACGTTCATGTAGAAAGTGACCAATTTCAAAGTCAGCAGCTAGGATTGCTTCAGAGTCTTCATCCTACAACAAATTAAATTGTGATCAGATCAAAGCAGTTCAATAAAAACTTAGATTTACTTTCATGAACATACCTCAGAGAAACCTGTTCAATATTAAATGTCATCTGATTTACTTGGAAGAATTACAAAACTGCATAATTATTTCTCTCGTCTTGGAAAGTGTTTTCTTTCAACCCCTGAACTGCAAAAAACCCTGAAATCTTATCCTTGGGTATCAAAATTCAGAGCTAATAAGAGAGAGTTATAACATAATAAATCTCTAGTCAAAACGCCACTCAAGGAAATCGCTGTTTAAAATGTGTAGCATGGAGGTCTTATCCCATTTTGTATAAAGGCTTCATTCTGGGCTATACTGTTTACAGAAGGAACATTAGACTTCAAATAATGGCTCCAAGAATGAATTAGTTAAGGAGCAAACTTTGTATATGGAAATTTAACTCGTAAAAATATGAAAAGGCCTGCACTTAGAATAAGACCTCCATTCACATTCCATGTGCTACATCACAATAATACAGAAACATTTTTCCGGATATCTTACATCAACATCTCAGGTCAAAACAATAAGATTAGTAACGCGAGGATGAACAGCACTAAGAGGTTTTGTACCAGTTAGCTTTGAGGGTGGGTTCAGGAATCAATGAAGATTTAGAATGAACTGAACCTTGGTCCTCTCCCCATTAGATGTAGGAATTTTAGAAGCGAGTGATCCACATGCAGTCTGGATAAGACATGAATGACATTACAAACTGATTGAACATTAACTTACCAAATCTCCATTCTCTGGAACTGTAAGAAAAAATAAATTAGATTATTGAATAAGTAGCTCAAGTTATTAAACTAAATTACTGAAAAAGTAGCTCAAGTTATTTAATTTGCACAGCTTTATTCACTTACCCTCAGGAGGGCTAAAAAAGTTGAAGAAAGAGTCAGTGGGTACAGTTTTTGTAACTGTCCTGACAGTGCCACGTCCCTTGTGTTTCTGCTTCTTTTTGATAGTTTTCATTGTGACATTCTTTCCCTTCATCCAGTCAATAGGGCACCTGTATTGAAATTTCAGAAGTGCTGTATTTAGCATGGCTAGATAAATTATGCAGGCAGATAAAAGTATCTATTGTTTTAGGAAACGTCCCCGTCACACCATTAATTGCCAATTTTTCAGTATTGCTGCTAACACACAGCTCACCACCCATCTGATCCCAGCAGATTTTTTTTGAATTAGTTGTTGAAATACCAAAAGACTTAATGAATAAAGGTAACATTCAACACAATGTAAATGGCTTCCATAAACTTTTCAGCAGCAAAATACTTAGTTGCTGATCTAACCAAACAAGCAAGTTTGGCTATATGCTCCATCTAAAATTGATATTGCCAAGTTTTCAGATCAAGATGCACTTTGTTCAGAAAGATCAATTCTTGAAGCTTTATGATAAGTCTTTCCAATTGTACACTCTGAAGAATATAATTTATTATAATTCTCAACACATGGAAATCAAAGCAATAAGCTTTCTTTAAGAGACAAGCTTTAAATGATTCCATTAATACTGCAAGCTTACCCCGTGCATCCCATGATTTCTGGTCCATCAAATGAAAAAGGGTCAGACTCATCAGGTTCCGACCTCATCTTGTATGTCTTTGTCAACAATTCATTTGTAAAGTATTCATTTGGCTCGAAGGAGAACTCCAAAGTAAAGCTCTTCAAAAAGAAATGTAGACTTAGGTAGGGAATCTTAGACCATTCAGTACTTCTCATTCTTAAATGGAGTTACTGTATTTGTGGTAAGCTCACACATAAACATTAAATTGAACAGCTTCAGTTTTGCACCCTTCTGAACCCAGCAGTTGCATTGAGCACAAAAAGAATAGCCCAGTGAAGTGTTAAGTTCCAAAAATTCTGAATTTAAATAAATAATTCCAGAGAATGAAGATCTGAATGGTTCAAGGTGTACAGCAGTAGACTGAGGTTTAAAAAAATTCTAATATTCTGGTTTATTTTGACACAATTGAATCCACCACGGTTAGTCAAAAATGTTTAGCTGCAGAGCAAGCATCTGCTGCAGGTTTGGCAACATTGATAGAGCTTTTTTAAAAAAAAATGCATATTATTGATATGGAAAGGAAGAGGAGCGAACAAGGAGGACAGAATTAACAGACCAGCAAGATAATTAACCTAGGGTCTTGAAAAACGTAAAATTTCACATCAACCAGATGGCATAATGATATGCATTTTATATTCACAAGCATTTTATAAAGGCACTTTTAAAAATCAAAATTATACAATTTCCCTTTCCTCCATCAATGAGAAGCGTCAGAATTAGAAGTCATATAGAGGTCCCTAAACTTCTGCTGCAATAAACCTGTTCAGCACAAGTGAAGGGAATGCAGTCGACAAAAAAGATAATTTTGTGAAGCAAAGTACTACACTACTGTATTTAAACTGCATATTGATCACAGATCTAAATTAAAAACACAATATTGACTTACCATTGGTTGTCCAACATCTGAAAATTTCACCTTCAAGTCTGTTAAATGCTTTATGATTGGTTCATCATGCTCCTGTTAGTTAATATATAAAAATTACGTACAGAATCTGATATAGTAACTTTTTTGTTTTGACACAAATCATTCTGTGCCCCAAATGATCTGTCCATTTCAAGTAAGTAATCATTTCAAGGGCAGATACTATGGAAGCAATTAGCCTAGTGATCATACACATTAAGATTTCCATGTGTCACTCGCACAAACAACAAGAGGTCAGGGGAAACTACATCGATGATTTGCGCAGCCACTACAACCCACAGAATCAGAATTAACACAAATTAGAGTACTTAATAATAATCCCTCCAAAACCAAAAACAATAATAAATTGGTCATTTTCAATCTACGACTGTTTGTGGGACATTGCTGTGCGCAATTGGCTGCCGCGTTCGCCCACAAATATACAGTCAATTCACTTTACAGTGTGTTCTGTGAAGCGCTTTGGGATGTCCTCCTGACATGAAAAGCGCTATATCAAATGCAAGGATTATTATTATTATTATTATTACTTAATTTGGGACTAATTTTTAAGACACACATCAAAGACTCTTAAAATTACACATTGATATTCAGGTCTTAACTGAATCAAGTGTCAGTTGCAATAAAAAAATTAACATGTAAAAATATTGAATTACTAAATTGATTCTAAAGCAAATATAAATACAATAGACTATGCATACAAATTGGGAATTTGCTGCCCCCTTCAGGTACAGCTGAGCTGGTTAGCTGAAAACCTTCCAAATCATGATATTTTAACTACACCAGGTTTTCAAGATTTGATTTAAGATTACCATACCTGAACCATGTCACTCAGCAAGTCAACATTCTTGAAAACTGTCAACCAAAAGTCTGGTATTCCTTTTGGAGCTTCCTTTTCTTCATCTTTTTTCTCTTCCTCTACTTTTGCTTTCTCTTTCATTTCATCCTGTAATAAGCATTTAGAGATGCAGCAGTTCCAATGTCAGTACACTGAAGGGAACCAGTCTTGCCTCCCCACCCATCCCAAAAGCACAGCAGTAATTGAAACGTGTACAGAAGTTTGGCATATAGAGCAAAAAGATACCAGTCAATCTAGTCTCTATTGGTTAGCAAATCCATTCCACTTCTTCATTCAACAATGAATACTGACATTTCTCCCACTTGACCATCAGTTGCTATATGGAGCTCCACCTTAGAACCCTATTTCCTTTCCCACCTTCTTTCATGCCCCCAGCTCAACTTGGGCTATCAGTTCTGTGAAGCGGCTTTGAGATATCCTCCCGACATCTGTATAAAAGGCCTCATATAAAAGTAAAATTGTTTTGTATTACAGTGTCAGTACTGGAGGATCAATCAATCTTTGGGTGACTTATAATTAACCTTAAGAACTTGACAGTTTAATTCATACCCCTTGCAAAAACAAAATATACCGGATTTACCGACAGTTCCTCCTCTTCATCGCCTTGCCATTTGCATTCTTCTTCTGTGGGCTCAAAGATAGCATTGACGATATCACTCCTCTGTGGGAAGGAAACAAAAAACAAGCATTCAATAAATATTCTTTAACCTGCTCCCTTTTCAAGACAAATTATAAAGGTAGCAAAACTGATTTGCAAAGAGCAACTTTTCAACATAGGTTTTTTTTAAAAAAGCAATATTCAACACAGAGCATTTTCCTTGATCATTAGACCACAAGGCAACAAACATGGTACTAATCAATATTAACCCAATGTTGAAATACAACAATTCAGCAGTGTATTAGGGAATGTCAATGTAAAGTTACCCATGTAATTGATTCACCACCAACCAATAAAATGGTAGTCAAATGTTTAGTAATCTAAGATTCTTAAGATTATTGTGCTTTATATAAAATGTCACAGTAGATAAATAGAGAGATAGGGTCAGTCTGTGATTGTCTGCTTGTGAAAATTAGGTCCACTCACCTCAGAGTACAATAACACCCAAACAAAAACAAGTAGCCATTTCATGGATGCTTGAGAATTAAACAAGTCTCAAATAGCCAGGTTTTCAAGTTGCTAAGTTGTTGCAGAATTTTATACTTTTTTTTAAACAAAGGAAACTTGTGAAACTTGAATTTTATAGCAAGAGCTATTATAGTTCAGAATCTTGCCCCACTTCCTTTAAGTCAGAATTTAAGATACAGTCCTTCTCAATAAGCTAAATGGTTTCTTCCCCCAATAAAAAACAAAACTGATCTACAATATCAAATGTTTACAATGTCCTACCTTGTCAAAAAGTGGTTGATAAAGAGCAGCATACTTTCTTTGCAATTCATGAACTTCTTCATAGAACTTGGCTTCTATGTGTGCACATTTCACCTGGAGATTCTTGAGAGCATTTACACGTCGCTTAACGATTTTAGGCAAACTGAAAACCAAAATAAATCAAGTCATTAGAATACTCTTTAAACTTATTCAAAGAACATTTGTCAGTCTTGCGCATAGAATAATAGATTTAATAGATAAAATAGTCAAGCTAGGCTAAGTTGAATCATCTGGTCATCATAATATCGCTTTAAGTTTACACGTCATGCACACGAATAGCCCATCATTAAGTTTGACCATGGCTGTAGGGGAATTCACAGCCAGAATGTTCACATTTTTCTGTTGAAGAACTGTGGCAATATTTAATTATGCTTCATATTCTTTACCTTTCTAGATAACCAGATGGATTTCCTACGAGACCGTCAAGTCGCTCTTGTAGCGCTGCCAGAATCCGCGGGTTCTGCATCATTTGAACTGTAAGCTGCCGAGCTGTTGTCATGAGGTAAGAGTTACTTTCAAAATAAAAAAATAGCTCAACCCGAAAAGAAAAAGTATGTTATTAGAAAACAGCAACATTCTTATCCCGAGAAAGAATATACTTCATACAGGAGTTTGATCAGCCAATCAATCATTTGAAAATTGCGATAACTTGTTAAAATGGATTATTTAAAAGTTGCACATTTGAATATTTATCAAAATTATCTGTATCTCTCTCCAGGGTTTAAATTACTTCTTTTGTACACATTACTGCTCCCAATATCTATCAATTTAATGCCATAATATAAGTAAGCCTTAATATGGAAAAACGTTCCAAACATTAGTATTCAGTTTCATGGACAGTTGATTGACCATCCGAGGCAGCATAATCATGGGATAGAAATTTACAGGTAAACAAACAGTTAGCAAGAATCTATCTAACAAATATATCCTGGTAGCTTCTGGTAAAACAAAGAAGGCAATTATATAAAAATACCAATGGACAGCTGAAAAGGTGCAATTAACACCAAACCATGCTTAAACCTGCATTTAAATTTATATGCACAATGGACAATATTCAAGGCAACACTGTCAAGTCCTCCAGAACTCTCATTAATCTCCACTCAACAATCCCCCCCCCCCTTTTTTTTCTTGCTCATTATTCCATTGGAAGTTTATTTCATATCACAAACCCTCAAAGAACAAAACCTCAATTCTTCATACTGCGTGGATTTGGGTGCCCAATTAAAAAGCCACAAGTAGAGATGGTTTACATCTTTTCCAAATCTCAGCCCAACCAGTTGATATTTACCTTTGATTCCGCCCACCTCTTCTACATATTCATAGCATACATATTACCAAGTCTCAAAATCTCGAGTTTCAAAGATGTTTTCAGGAATCAGTTCCTTTGTACTCTTCAACATTTCAAATTTATAAAGCCAAATCCTTCTAAGACATGAAGACTGCAACCATATTCAGCAAGGACAATTATAAAAACTTCAGTAAACGCAGATCAATTTTTCTTCAGTTTCAAAACGCTTACCTTTGCTATCTACATCCTCACTGGTTTCCTCTTCTTCTATATCCTCCACATCCTCCATGTCCTCTTTTTGATCATGCTCAGTCTGCTCTTTGCTGTGACAGATAAGTGTTACAGATAGCAAGTGTTAAAAATCTATACTAACATTTAGTTACCAAAGTATGCACAATTGTACAGAAGTCATTTCCCATATTTAGTTTGTGCACAATTGCAACTGAAGACACACTCATACTAACGGTTCACTAACATCAACTGAGGCTGTTACTTTAAATCCCATTTCTTCATACAAGTTACTATTTTACTTCAAGAGTGACTAAGATCTTTTTCCTAGCCTTACCTAAACCCATACTTTGAATGTGAATGTGCCTGTTTTTTTGAAGCAGCAAGCCTGGAGGCAGTGGGAAGAAATAAACGCTAATTACATTCAGCAGGCAAAACTATTGCCCTTGAAAAAGATTTGACTTCCCACTTTGCTAAGTTGCATCACATGTATACTTATACTTCCCTGAACACAAGCGAAAAATGACCTGAGAGGGAGGTATTCTAACTTCAAAGAATGCCATCTTCAAATGCAAAAACTGAATTCAACATTTAATCCAATGCATAGACTTAAGGGTCAATGGTTTTATACTTACTTATCAAGGTCTGCCATCGTGTTACAAGATGAAATAGCTGGGCAGAAGAAAAAGAAAACAATTAAGAAAGATGAGGACGATTCAGTTCAAGTTTCCACAATCATTCCTTTAAAACAAATAATTTTCAAGAAAGTTGTGCACTTATCAAGAAATTATATTTAGAAAATATTATAGCATCCAACTTTAAGGGTGAGATACGACTGGCTGCCCAATATAAGAAAACTGAATACATTTCAAATAGAATTTCAATGAGATGAGACAGATAAACTATTGTTTTTTTGAGGGAAAGGAACATTTTACCCAATTAGAAATACTGCAGTACCCATTTTCTGCTACTGGAGGGCGCCATGATTATGCTGCAACACCTCTAGTGATCCACAGCAAAAACCATAATGCAAAACACAGAAGAAATCACATTTTGAACCTTATCAGCTTCTAACTAGTATATTCAAAATGTAATCAATATTCACACTGTCACTGAAATTAGCCTGGCTTTGAGGAACAGTGCTGCAAAATAAACCAGGAACCCAGTTATACTGGATATAACTGCACCTGAAATATATCTACATTTTGATCTCCAGAAACCAGATAATTACTTCCATTATGTCTGATAAGGAGCTGGTAGACACTTCGAAGACCAGCAAATTGCCTAGAGACTTGGTCTTCTTTAGGGATCAGGGGATACCTCTGGTCAGAAAAAATGTGAAATGCAGTTCATGTAAGGTCACCCGCTTAATGTAAACTAAATACTGAATCGGTTGATTATATAATCCTCTTGAATTCCAACAGATATAATATCTACTGTTTCCCCAAGTCAGTTAACCTATGGTTGGTGCATCAAAACTGATTCTTTAACTGACGGATGGCAGATCTGAAGTCATGCAAGCAGCAACAATTTTATCTCCATTTAAGAAAAGGTCATAGCAATTGATATTGGATATTAAGTTAAGTCGAGCAATGCAGATTTCATCAATGAATGCAAAAGCATGGTGCATCAGATTATGGGTTGAATCAGATTTAAGCAACATACGGAAAGGCAGGAGTACGTACAAAAGTCGTTAAAAGTCCAAAACTTCAACCAAGGCAATACTAGAACCATTATTTGAATAGCAACCTAAAAGAAGTGCATGAAGCCAGTTTTCTGCCAAAGGTAATCAAAAGGTTACAAGGCTCAATCAAATAAAATACTAATCTTTGCACTGGGTCAACTTCCACATGTATGACACCCAACTCTACCGCTCTGCCTCCAACCTAGACTCTAGGACCACTGCTGCCCTGGATGAGAGCTAACTTTCCCACCTCGGCACCGAGGCCTTCCTGATTGGTTGCCGTCAGCGCCTCCACACCTCAGGCACTGGTGGCACCATCACTCATGGATGTACACTCCACCTCACTGAGCCAATCCAGAACCTTGGGGTCTTGTTTGAACCTCAACAATCCTTTCACGCACCATTCAGAACTCTGCAGCTCATGTTCTATCACCCCCACCCTCGCCCAGCTCCATTGGCTCCCCCCCCCCCCCCGAGGATGGGGTTCAAAATCCTCATACTCGCCTTCAAGGCCCTCCACGGCCTTGCTCCTTCCTACCTCTGTGACTTGCTAACCCCATGTAAATCTGGCTGTGAACAGTTCTGACGAAAGGCCGTGGACCCGAAACATTGACTCACTTTCCTCTCTCCATAGATACTGCCTGACCTGCTGAGTGTTCCCAGCGACTTCCGTTTTTGTTTTCAGATTTCCAGTATCTGTAGTATTTTGCTTTTCCTTCAATCAGAGATTGGTTTCACAACCAGCTAAATTAACTTAAAATGGAAACCAAATTCTTTAATAAAGTCCACAAGTGAAGGCTTTTTTGTGTTGGGCAATAAAGGATACTGACTAGTTTACAGTCATAGTGTGACAACTTTTATCCATTTCCTCTTTACAGAGTGTGACAACCAACCTTTATCGAATATCTATTTTTTTAGATCCCAAGGTTTAAGAGGAAAGATCTATTGAAACAGAAACGAAATCAACCTTAATAATAATAATAATCCTGGCATTTACATGTCGGACACCGTTGTGCGCAATTGGCTGCCGTGTTTCGCCCATAAAACATAGTCAATTCACTTTACAGTATATTCTGTGAAGGCTTTCGAAGACATGATAAGGCGCTATATCAATTTCAAGGATTATTATTGTAGAGCACCTTATCATGTCTTCAAGACGTTTCAAAGGGCTTCACAGAATATACTGTAAAGTGAATTGATGACATTTTGCAGGCAATCACGGCAGCCAATTGCGCACAAATAGTCGTGGATCGAATGACTGAAGTATTGTTGATTTTTTTCAAAGGGATTATTGCCCCCAGAAAAGCGATCTACCAATCGACTAACAACTGGGTTCCTACTTACTGCTCGGTAAACAGAGGTGCTTGGAGCAAGAAAATTTGCTCAACATTTCGCCTCGTCCAGGAATCGAACCCAGGTCCTCTCACTTGCGAGGCAAGTGCTCTAACCACTGGGCTAGGCGACAGGACTCCATAATCTTACAATTTACTGAAATCTTACAACACTAATATTAAGTATAATTTACATGCTAGTCATTCAAAGAAATCCATCGACCTAGCTGTCATCCTTGCTAAGGAAGATAAAGCAGGTTCTACAAAGACCATCAAAAGAAATTGTGATGCAATTTACTGAAATTTCTGCCTCAGTACTAAATGTCACAGCAACTTCACAGTATTCTTATCTGAAGATTTAAAAAAAAACACAATAATCATCGTACAGTGACAGGGTATTTTGAATTTCTATGGCATTTCATTCACGCCTGCGTTACAACCAGGCTCGACTATGCCGAGACTGGAGCTCTCCCGATTGGCTCACGCCAGCACCGCCGCACCTCAAACACTGGCAGCATCAGCACCCACGGAGGCACATTCCAGCTCACCAAGCCAGTCAGGAACCTAGGCGTCTTGTTCAACCCTCAGCTGTCCTTTCTACCCCACATCCGTGCCATGACCCGCTCTGCCTTCCTCCACCTCCGCAACACTGCCCGACTCCGCCACTGCCTCACCCCTCAGGCTGCCAAAACCCTCATACATGCCTTCATTACATCCAGGTTCGACTGTGCCAATGCCCTGCTTGTTGGCCTTCCCAACTCTTCCCTCCACAAGCTGCAGATCATCCAAAACTCTGCAGCTCACTTCCTCTCAGCACCAGGCTCCATGACCCCATCACATCCGCCCTCGACCAGCTCCACTGGCTCCCCATCCCCCGGTGGAACGAGTTCAAAATTCGTGTCCTCACCATCAAGACTAGAGTTTAAGTTTCCAGAAATGTCCCTATCAACCTGTCTGCTCCTTCCGCTCAGCAGCCGCGGCCTGCTCCATGTTCCCCGCCCGGCCTACCCCACCATCGTCAGTTGGGCCTTCAGCATCTCTGCCTCCACCCATCCCACATTCCCTTCGCCTCGCTTCCTCCCTTGCCTCCTTCAAGGCACAGCTGAAGACCCTTCGACTGTGCCTTCAGCCACCCTGATTCCAACTCCCCACTGCTCAGGTCCTAATCCCTGACTGTTCAACGCCTTGGGATGTCCTCCCGACGTGAAAGGCGCTTCACAAATGTAATTTTGTATTGTATTGGCAAATAGGAGATCAGCTAAACACTGTAGTTCAATTTAGGTGATTCAAAAATCACAATCACACTATTAACCCATGTCTAATTTCAGCAAATAATACAAATTAAGTAGCAGAGGAATAGAATAGAAAAGCGGTATTATACCTGTACGAGGCGCTAGTTAAACACCATCCAAAGTCCTACAGTGCCCAGTAAGAGTGTGCATGCATACGCTTCATTTGGAACAAAATGAATTAAGAATTCTATTCACACTTTTCCTAACCAGTTATACAGCAATTGAAATAACTAATGCTAATATTGGCAAGTACACATTTAAGATGCAGTTATTTTTGCCTCAAGCTGAGTTATCAAATATTCTATTTTGTCTAATGCACAGGAATTGCTCAACGAAAAAAAGACAAAGCTCCATCTAGTTCGCCTTCTACCACCCTGGTAGTCGCACCATTGACATTTTGCTGCTGGTTATATTAAAATCAAGCACTCTGCCCAGTTAAAGCAAAGATTATCTGAATGAACTGAAGCAATGATAAAAATCTTACCTATTCTCATCAGGAAATGAGAGCATAAGAAAAATCTAGTTTAAACTGTTTCACTAGCTAGTGTCAACTGCATATTCCAAGACAGTCAAAGCCTTAGACATTTCAGTATCAATTCTACACTGGAGTTATGAGGTATTCCAAACAATATTCATAGAGAACAAGAACAAAATATTTGCGCTCTAAAATTTCAAATCATTAAATTTCTCACCTTTGCAAGTCATCTTTCTACAAGTCTACTATTACTGTACTCAACTAGAGATAATGCGCTTTTCAGAAACAGAAGGTAAACAAATAATTCCAGTTTCACTTTAAAATTAGGTGATAACAATTAATGATTACAGATCAGACATTTTTCTATGGTGTACTTCTATGGGCAGAGAAACCTTGGCCCAAAGGAGATGACTAAGAGATAAATATCTAAATTAAATCACAAGTTGGATGGGCTATTTAAACTGCAGTTGCTCTTGAAGACTGATTATGTTTAAAGTATAAATGGCAAGAATCCTCACTGCCCAAATAAAAGCTGGTTCTTTTAAGTCTTTTGTGTGGTCTACAACCTTTAAATTTATTTTATTTGTTATATTTGCATTAACAAAGCCAACTTTCCTTCAATGATGGCAGCTTATGGCACCAACAACAAGATTACATTTGTATAGCGCCTTTCATGTCAGGAGGACATCCCAAGGCGCTGGACAGAGTACAGCATTTCAGACCCGAGCTGGGGTTGGGGGGATGGGGGGGAAGGGAGGGGAGGGGAAATGGCCAATGGCATAGTCGAAGAGGAGGGTCTTGAGGCGGGACTTGAAGGAGGCTAAGGAGGGAGTGAGGCGGAGTGACCGGGGGATGGAATTCCAGAGGTTGGGGGCAGAGTGGCTGAAGGC